ATTAATAAATATTAATAATATTAATACAATTTTAATAATTTGTATTATCATTTATTTTTTACAAAATTATAAAATATTTAATGTCATCAAAAAATAATAAATATATTTATTATAATTATTTCAATTATCAATTAAATAAAAATAAAGCAAGATAAAAAAAGAAAGCATTAATTTTAAAAATTAAAAATAAGAACAATACTTATTTAATTCTTCATATAAATTTTGCAATAAGAATTATTTATTTTTTCTTTAAATTATTATAATATATCTATCATTGATTTAAATAATAAACATATTAGTTCATAAGAGAATATAATGTAATAGATAATAATATTAAAACTATGAATTCACAGAAAAATTCAATCGAATTTTACTGGTCAAAATGTAAAACGATTTTTTTTGTTCGCATTTATTCTCCCCTATATTGCAGCCCCTTTATATTGTGTTCCACTGTCGCGCAGTTCCGAAAGAAATAGGTTAAACTTTCTCTTCCGTAGATACAAAAAATTCATATACAGTTACCTTAGAATATCTATTTCTTTTTATTTTAATATGTAAATATATTATTTCTAGAATATATTTATTATTTAAGATTATTTTTAATAAAAATTATCTTTCTATTCAATTATTTCTTTATTTATAATATATATAAATATAAAAAATATATTATTTTATATTTCATTAAATATTTTTAATATTTCAATAATTTTTGTTACACAGATGTATTTCATTTATATATTAATATAAACAAAAAAATTATAGATAATTTTTTTTCTTTTTTTATACTGTTTTCACGAACTCATTATATTCACGATTCAGTTCAATGTATCTTTCACTGTACGAATCGTGCAAATAGCAAATAAAGAAAAAAGTTGTAAATACTTACACTTTTCGGAAGATTCAGAAAGGACGCTACTTAATTTTGTAGAAATATTTCTTCTTTCCTATGTTGAAAAGTTATTGAATGATGAGTTATTGTGAAAATTAATCACGTTAATTTCGCGAATAATAATCACTTCATTGATTGTAAAAATTATCAATAAATTATTTTAAATAGCATAAATATCACCACAAACGGAGCTCAGGGCATGCTTACTTCGACTGTCGTCCAACGAATCGTCTATGATGCTTCTCCCACCATAGTTTGAACACAATACAGTATTTCTATTGGCCAATTCCAACTATACGCGGTTGATTTGTTTTAAATGTTTAAATAATGTATTCTTTGTTTCTATTTATTATAATATTATTATTGTATAATTTAAACTGAATTATTGTTAAAAAATAAAAAATTGAAATAAAAATAATTATTTCATTCTATTCTATACAGAAAATACATAAATTAATATTCGAAATTTCAGTAATTTAATAGCGTATAAATTATAAAATAAGATTTTTATTTTTTATATTTTCATAATATTATGATATATTCCTAACAAAGTTATAGAATATAAAATATATAAATATATATATGATATGATATATATGATACATAAATTAATTTATCTTTATAAATAGATTATGAAATTATAAAAAATTATTTTTTTAAAGAAATTTCATCTTAAATTTTTACACTATAATAAATATTTTAAAAATGGCGTTTATATTTTATCACTGTTACCAATGATAAGAACAGTATAACATAAACAGAAATTTATAAATTAAAAAAAAATAAAAAAAATTAATTCATAAATGTATACTAATACTAATGTATTATTTATGATACTTACTACTTATATTTTAAGCTTTGTTAGAAATATTCCAAAAATACTAATTATACTTTTAAAATGGAATATTTTGAATTACATATTGGTAAAGTTATGTATATTTCGCGCTTAATCTTATACTGCGCATGCGTGTTCTTTCCAAAGTAAATCCGCGTCGTCGCTGTCGTAATATCGTACTTGCGTTATTCGTTTCACGATACGTAGCGTGCATTACTGTACAATCGTATACACATCTATCGTTTGACAGTTGATTTTAATACGCGCACACAGTAATCATCAATTCTGATTTATTCTATATCATTTAGTTTTTTCTAAAACAATATATACCTATTTATTGACATGTCGTTCATTGAATTCTGGGGATCGGTCTACAAGAAAGCGCGCTTATATTCGCCGACATTGGATACATAGGTGTCATAATGTGTTTGAAGAGGAGCATACCAATGTCTACGTGCCTAGAGATGAATTTCCTGCATCATTTCTGGACATCGCGGGGTTAAAGTCTCGGCTCGACAGACAAAATAGCTAGATAGATAGTTAGCATAAATAGTTAAAAAAAAAAAACAGAAGGATTAAGTGTTTGTGAAGCAAGCATAAGAGCTTGTTCAGTAGAATCTAAATTGAAAATCGCGAGAAAAAAACGGCCGATCAATGTCTTATTTGTGATGGGAGTGCCTGCGCGGGGAGCACTCGCGGCGATTGTCGCCATAAGCGCATTCGCTGTTTATTTAAATAGCCTTAATTGCGGCTTCGTTTTTGATGATATTTCAGCGATAAAAGATAATCGTGATCTCAGGCCTCATACACCTTTAAAAAATGTTTTTTACAATGATTTCTGGGGTACTCCTATGCACAAGGTAATACGATATGTAATGTAATGGGCGCTTTCGATTTCCCCTTCCCTTTCACTCTTGTCTACCTTCTTGTGTATTGATCCGTTCAACTCTTCTCTTCCTTTTCCTTCCCTTTCGATTTGGTTCGATTCAATTTAGTTTTAAGTAAGTAAATCTTATTTAACTTTAAATTCTTTAAGTTTTTTTTTGTTTTTGGCCAAAAAATCAATATTTTTGATCAAAAATTTTTTTTTTTATTATTTATCAATCATTTCAATGAAGATTGATATATTATTCAATTTTATTAAATATTTTTAATCTTAAAATTAAATTATTT